GAATAACTCCTACCAGCTGCCCAGCCATTCAACCAGGCCCACCCAAGTTTACATACAAACTGAACTACCACAAACCCTCTCTGAAAAGATGTTGTTGGAACACTGTAGAGTGGACTCTTTGTTCTAAATAATTGAATATTTGTGCAGCCTACCTTACAATGTAATACCTTTTATAGACTATCTTATGAGCATTGTTAAGGGATTGAAACTATCATATAAAGAATCTGTTCCTCTCTTTTTTTAAATTTCAAATTTGGGATATTACACATACTTTTTTGATTCCATACTGTTCATCAGAGATCACTGACAGGGCTTCAGTTTTCTCATATTTGGGTTATTTTAATATCCTTAGATTTAGTTTCAGTTGTCAAAGACACTTGAACCCTATTTAGCATAACCCTTTACCAATTCTCCGTTTTGGAATATATACTTAGGAGGTTAGTTTTTATTGGCAGAGAATAAATGTTATCATTGTGTTTTGTATATAATTTAGTTTAGATATCAGTGATTCATAGTTTCTTCGTGAAAGTGATTTTAAAAATAGTCCTGAATGTACGGCATAAAAACAAGCTTGTTATTGTTGTTATGTGCCATCAAGTCGGACCCGACTCATAGCAACCCCTCCTTGGGTTTCCAAGACAGTATCACTATGGAAGTAGATTGCCCAACCTTCCTTCCGAAAAACAAGCTAGTCACTTTAAAAATTCAATAAAGAGCTGAGTTATTTATCTGATCCATGTAGATGTCTAATCCACTCAACTCCTTCCCTAATTTTGACAGGACTGGCTGAATTTTCCTTTTTTAAGTATACTGGTTATAATTATCTCAAGCATGTTCATATGAGCTAAAAGGCATTCATTACCTAGTTTAGCTAGTCTTCTCTTGAGAATCAGATGTCCCTGTTTGTAGTCTTGTTCTGATGCACATTGAATGGATAAAGAACCTTCTAATTGAAAATAATAAACATGCTAACGCATAATGCCTATATCACACATGTTGGCTGGGTTCTTGATAGGCTATTTCCATGCACATTTCAAAACAATGCGTAAATTGCAGCCACGTACTGAAGCCCGCATTCATGCTTGTTGTTGCTAAAACCAAAAAATCAAACTCACTGCTGTTGAGTCGGATCCGACTCACAACAACCCCTCCTTGGGTTTCTGAGGCAGTATCAGTATGGAAGTATATTGCCCAGTCTCTAATCAGTTTTGACCCAGAAGGACCCCATGTGACACAGTAGAACCATGATAGAGAGTTTTATACACTGTAATCTTTATTAAAGGAGTTTGGGTGGTGCAGTGGGTAGAGTACTTGGCTGTTAACTGAAGGGTCAGTTGTTCAAACTCACTTGCTCCATGGGAAAAGGTTGCAGAAGTCTGCTTCTATAAAGATTTACAGCCTTGGAAACCCTATATGGCAGTTCTTCTATGTCTTCCAGGATCCCTTTGAGTTGGAATCTACTCAGTGGAAATGGGTTTGTTTCTTGTTTTTCAGTCTTTACAAGAGCACATTACCAGGTCTTTCTCTATTGAGAAATCAAGGGAGAAGAAATTCTCCTTCATATAACAAACAGGATCTTTGTCATCATCTATGGTCTCATTTCCTCTCTAACAAATAAAAATAAAGTCAAGATTATGAGTAAAACCTTTTTTGGAAGAGTGAAATCTGCTTGTATTGACTTTTTACATTTTAAGTTGATAACCATGACATAAATTGCTATACTGAGCTTATTTTATGCAACAGAAATGACTAGTGATTTTCCTTTTTGTTTTACATGCAGGAAATCAGAAGATAGTAGTAATGGTATAGAAAACAATGCCCCCAGGCACAGAAAAAATTCAGTTACTTCCAAATGATACTCCAAATAAAAGGTAAAATTTATTATACACTGGCTCTCTATATATATTGATCCAGTTACTTTTTAAATTTCTAAGTTGGAACTAAAAGACCTAGTATTCACTAAGTGCTTGATTATTTTGTATGTGATTAGCAGTAAATTTAAAAGTAAATCTTACTTCAATGTATTTCTTTCTATATATATTTATCACTGTAGGTTGGTTTCTTTTACAGCTTTTCATGTAGCCTTATTTACCCCCCTCGACTTTTCTTGATACTTTTTTAAAAACAATTAATCTCATATATTCAGTGTTGTGAACTACTGCGTATTGCTGTTTAGATTCAAAATTTTCATAGTTTACCAACACTTCTCTTTGAGTGTTTCGAGTTGGAGACCATATCTCTATAGTAGTTCAGATCCCATCTCCTAGCACTTTTTGCTTTGATAAAGTTATAATAAATTGATGTAGAAGAGCCAGGACATGCTAACTGTGTTTCATTATGCTTTATTTTACTCAGGCATCTGTGAGCCAATGAATGAGAGAGATCATGTCACGATCGTGGGAAGATGTCTAAGGAATTTGTCTTTCAGCTTTGTTTATACTTGCTCTTAGGAACATCTGCCTTTTTATTTTGAGAGAATGAAAAAACCTCAACATGCTCAGCATTGGCTTCATGAGCAGTATGTGTGGACTCAGAGCTAACAATGTATTTTCATTCTGTGATTATTTTATGTTGATGTAAGGTAATTTGTATTAAAATATGTTTTATGAGCTATAACACAGGATAGTTTATTTAATGCTGGTCCTCAAGGGATACACAGAACAGACACCAGCAAAACCAGCTAATAGTTCATGGAGCAAATGTCACTCAAGGCCTAGTTATAACCAAAGATCATTCAAGAGGAAGCCTTTGCCATTTGTCTTAAAAAGTTTTTTTTTTTTTTTTTTCAAAAAATTATGCTTATTAAATATCAAAGCATTTGTAACAATTTCTGTAAAAAGTTCATCCCTTTGTGATACTGAAAAATTGTATCTTAAGTAGGAAATGAGTATTTTCTGCCTTTTCTAATTGTGGTGACACTATAATATCTAGAAGAAAAACATACTCTTCATCCATAAATAATGGTTTAAGAAGGAAATAAAACACTTGCCCAGAAGCTTTCTTAAAACAAAAGCAAATTTTCCAGACTTTATCCCATTTGTCTCTGCTTCTCTATTGCTTCCCCACACGAGGCTAAAGTATTTCTTAGTATTTCACACAGTAGAGCTTTTTTCTTGTTTTAAACTGTGTTTTAGACTTCTTAAGATATACCTGGTGTTAATGTTTTAGAGTATAGGTCCATATAATCATAAGGCTATATTGCCACAGGGATGCTTCTGTAGTTCCTGTCTGCTTCTATCCTTGATTCCCTGTTGAAGGTCAAGTTTCTCCATGCTGACTTCACTTAAGCCACATGTCTTCAAGTACAATTTTGGTCAGTTTGTGGAAACTAATGCCACGGCTAAATATCTAAAAATGCTTTTAAATGTGAATTTCTTTGACTGAAATCCTGAGACGGCCCGAACACTAAATTGCTACCTAAATGTTTTCTGAATGCTTAAGACAAAATAAAATTTTAAAAATAAGATACTTACTTTTTATTGCATGTGTAACTGAAGTATGTTATAATATAACTTAAATCAAATGAAATATGAATAGACACAAAAAGTTGTCAGTGACCTGGACTGAAATATTAAAATCACCCACTGTATAACTCGGTTAGCTGGGAGGTGATGATGTGAGACTTGATGCTGGTGCATCCAGTAGTCCACTGCTCGCAGTGCCACAGGGTTCAGGGCAAGGTCAGAAGCAAAGAGAGGAGAGCTTGGCTTGGTGACGAGTAATCCATGATTCTTATTGGCTAATGGATTAAAGATTGGGAAAGAAGAGTGAAATGATTTGAAAAGAAAAAAAACAAAAACTTAGACATTTACATGATGCATGGACTGTGGAAATTACAACAAAATTCTGATTGTGAAAATTATATGGCATCTTAACCAATGTTTAAATATCTTACAAATATGAATAATCAGTCCCCAGCAAACATAAGGTAGTCACTTGCACTTCCATGCTGGTCATTATTTTATTGCAGCACTATTTTGTTATAAAGAATGTTACCTCCACATACATGTTTTGTTTAACACATACATAGTTTTTGAATATATCGCTTAAGGTAATAGCAGACTGCATTACACTATATTCTTGGTCTCAGAGCAATCTGCTTCCGTAGTGTTACTGTACCCAAGGAGGGGTCTCTGTGAGTCGGATCCGACTCAATGGCAGTGAGTTTGTTTTTTTTGGGGGGGGCTTTAACTTATTTTCATTATTAATTTGATAAAAATTATTTGGAGTAATATCTGTATGCTTGTAGACAACTAATCAGTTACCTTAAAATCTCTAAATAATCTGAGTTCATTGAAAAATTAGTGAAATCTGCTGTTTGACTAAGTTCATCTCACAAGGGTATATGTATTTGTAAGAACAAAACCAAAACCAATTTGTAGCTCATTTGAAGTGTATGTCCTTCCGTTTTTCTAACATTAGCTATTTAGGCTAACAGAGTTTCAAGCAAGAAAAATTACTCTGCCCCCAAGGTAAAAAAAAAAAAAAGAAAGAAATATTTATATAATTAAATTGAGTTTTTAAATGCCAGTGCTTGCTATTTATTTTTTCTAGCAAAGACAGTTTACTTCAGTCAGTTTGAGCAGAAAAAGTATTCAGAAAATTAAAGTTGAATTTTGGGTTTTTAGAGTCTCACCGGGGGACTTCAGGAAAGTTACTTCACTGATGTTAATTTAAAATGGGATGTTTCCATTAGTTATCCTCCTGCAGATGATAAATGGATTAACTAGTAAGGACCAATTATAAATTCAGTGTAAATACTAAGCAAGCAGAAAAGCTGGAGTGGGAAAACTACTCCAAGTTTATAGAGTAATCTTTCCAGCTAACAGGGTTTTTTCAGCATAATAAGTAGATTTAATGTCATAAAATTCCCAGATACTTTCATTTTCAGTATGTACTCAAATGTAAATCGAATGCCTTTGCAGTCTTTGTGATTTTCTTGAGCATTTAGTTCTCAGGCTAAAACCTAGAACTCATTGTAGTTTTTCTTCTCCTTTATTAACCAGTTCTTAGTGGTCATGAATCCCTGTTCTTTTGGCCTTCTTTATAGTTCCTTAACCCACCCCATTGCCTCAGCTACCTGACCTTCACCAGCTATAATTTCTAAGGTCTTGATTTGTTGTCCTAATTCTCATCTTCTGTCAACCCATTTCTCACACTGCTGTCCGAAGCATCTATCAAAACACAAATCTCACTATGTAACCTACTGTGGCAAGTTCCATGCCAAACTTTTCCAGGCTCACCATTAGCCATTTCTTAATATTGTAATTCTCCAAATCACCAATCTCTCCCCAGTGTGTCCAGCCTAGACTCATACACACTCTGCCCAGAATCCTTTACCCCCTGCACACCCTCTGCCCCTACTTGTCTAACTCAAGTTTAACCCTCAATACATTACTCAGATGTGATTTCCTGAAGGATCAGTCCTGTCCAGTGGGCTGCGTATCCTCCTAGGTGCTCCAGTTACACCGTATCACATAGTGTGCATTGCCTGTATTATAAATATACATTTCTTTGTCTCTTTCTGGATTCTGCCTTTTATATTTCTATGCTCTCTACCTCCCTACCGTAGTGACTGGGCCATTAGAGACGTCGAGAAATGTAAGTTGAAAGAATGAGTGTGCAGATAAAAAACAGCAAATTCCATTTATTTGTATTTATTTTTAGGAGAACCATTTAAATTGTGATAAATCATAACAAAAAAAAATTAACAGGGAAAAGAGGTTTTTGGATTTGTTTTTATTATTATAGAAACCACATAATCATGCAATGCATTTCCTTTCAGATTTTTTTTTTTTTTTTTTTTCTTAAGTAATGTGTTAAGGCTAGTGACCAAAAGGAGTTCTAATTACCTAAATCATTGGATGGGTTATTTACCTTTCAACTTTTTTAAATTCTAAATTGTCCTCTATTTTATATAGACAGTACAAATGTAAACCTCTTTTTGTCTTTTGTTTTAATAAAAAAAAAATACTGGCTTTAAGTAAAAGCATTTTGGAAGTTGCATTCCTTCGAATCATACTATACAAAGTATTGATATTTTTGTCTGCTCTACTTATGTCCTCTTTTCTTCCCCCATCAGATACCTTACAATACTTTTGAATACTTTACAATCCAGTTCAAAATTTTATTTTAAAGAAACAATTGAAAAAAAGCAAACAACTTTTATTGTTTAGTTTTGAACACAAAATCTTTTCTTCAATCACATTCTTCACAAGACAATGAAAATTTCCATCCCACCGTTCCCCAGATCTTCATCTTTGTGCCGCTTAACTAGATTTACACAAAATTATTTACTGAATGAAGATGTACTATATTTCCTTATAGAAAATGAATCTTAGCTAGTTGTGCAAATCTGTGCAAGGAATCGGTATCTTTCTCCCCATTAGTATTGTTTATCGCTAAGTGGGAATAAGGTCATGTGTGCCAGTGTTAGTAAAAGGCACAGTGATCTGCTTGTAGCATGCTCTGAATAAACATTTATTGAATGAATAAATAGAAACGTAATTGTTTGGAAATCTTAAATCTTAAATTTTATATACTTACATAATATCTAAGGTGCTCTGGTGGCATAGTGCCTAAGGCATTTGACTGCTAACCAGAAGGTTGGTGGTTCAAACCCACCACCCACTCTACGGAAGGAAGGCTGGGCAGTCTACTTCCATAAAGATTTACCACCTAGGAAACCCAAAAGGGGGTTGCTATGGCTCAGAATCATCTCCATGGCAGTGAGTTTGGTATTTGGTTTTTATATAATGTCTGCTTTGTTTTAGATTAATTGTGGATTCATCCTTCTCTGGAAACTGCCTATGTGCACATCTTTCATATGATATGGAGGAATGTGTTTGCACTGTAT